GTGTGTGTGTGTGTGTGTGTGTGTGTGTGTGTGTGTGTGTGTGTGTAACCCAGTCTAGCTGTTAGGAGGGGTGATATGAGCAGCCCCACCTGACAGCCTTTGAGACGCATGTTAGTTAAGCATGTTTGTTTGTTTTACACACCGCACATTGATCCGTACTGTTGGGTTTCGGAGTTTGATTACACGCACTGCCGACAGCCGTGCACACACGCAAGCTTTAGCTGTCCTTCACCACTACGCGTTGACAGATGCGAAGCGCACAAACAATAGAAGTAAAAGATGCAGTTCCGCTACCCCCGGTAGGCAGAAATTGCGATACCCCTTCTTCGCCGCATGCTACTTTTTTGACCGTTCGACATCGGGACAGGTCACCCATTCCGAAACGCAATGCACAAGTTGCTTCCGTTGGACGAGCACACAAGAGTACAAAACATACAGAGTACAAAACATCCAGAGTAAACCACACAAGCCTCATTTTTCCTAACCCATCGACCGACAGCGGTACCCCGTAACATTCACGGCCACAGATGTGAGACCGCAGAGGTAAAACCACAGACCACAGAGGTAAGACCACAGGGCGGTTTTTACCGCAGGGGTCAATCCACCCACAGGGGTAATATTTCTTCCGGCTTCAGATACAGCAATCTAATTCACAACCTCCACGAGATAACCTGCTGCTCAAATAATGAGGAGGAGAGAGAGAAGACACGGGGGGGGGGGGGGGGGGGGGGAAACCCTAATGTGCTCCTCCCTCCCCTCCGGCTTCGACTTCTGCTGCTCCTGTGGTGATTCTTTCTTGGAAAGACAACACTCCACGCTGCTCCAAAGCATCGTTCGCGTCATCCCCACCCGCAACCTTATTTGGGGATAACTCAACCTCTCCTTCTCAGGTCTGTTCGGCTGTCGAGCCCAACCCACCCAACTTCCATTCCTTCCACCCCCCTCCCCCCTCTCTACCCCTCCCACCATGACAACACCCACCGTAGACTGCGATCTTCCATTACCCGCTACACTATCAAGCACCCAGTGACCCCGGTGTCCAATGCAGAGAGTCTATTTGTAGCCTTGAACCAGCAGGACACCCATACATCGGCTGCAGGCCCCTTTCGGAGGGTGGTAATGCTTAGAGGCCATCGATGGACCCCCCCCCCCCCCCCCCCCCCCCCCCCCCCCCCCACGCAGCTCGGACTTTTTAGGTGGTGGCGGCGAGTTTCTTTCGGCAGGCTTGGGCCTTGTACTGGTGATTTAGCATTCTTTGTATCCACATCCGATCAGAGCTGCAAACAAGGACACACAAGAATTTCTCATCTCTCATACACGTATATATATACGCCACACACCACTCATACATGTATATATAAGTGAGTGATGTGCGGTATATATCGTCAAATAGAACTGCCGACTGTAAACCGTAGGCAGAGAGGGAGAAGAGGACAACAAACGAGGGGCTGTGACAAACTGTTTCGTCGGAGTTTCACCGACTCATCAGGAGGCTATATATA